TTAAATATATATATATATGAAGGAAACAATGAAAATAACCTGAAATATATAAAACATTTCAACAAATATCCTAACATTGGTCTTTAACTGAGTAATTCAAACGAACTCACACTACGTATATTGATGTGGGCCCAAAGTTGGGACCACGGAAGGAAAACACGGAACACGGATTAGAGGTAAGAAATATATGTTAAAGAGACAGGTTGCAAAGATAGTGTAAGTGGAGCTTACTATGTGCTAGTGTCCAATATTGGTAGTCGTACGCGGCTGATACTACAATATTAGAATATACTCTTTCTCTCTCTCTCTTAGAGTATTATATCGCATACTTTATATAGTCCTGGAAGAGTCCATGTTGTAGGTATGTTACGGTCTCACAACACCCCCCCCACTTCCTAAAGTTTTCTTTTTTTTTTCTTTTTTCTTTTTTTTAAAGGAGTGAAAAAAAACATAAAACTGTTAATACTTTTTTCTCTTGGGATTTACGTCGAGTGGTTGGGTAAATTTCCTTTTCCTTCCTGAGCGTCGCACTTCAGGAGAGACTTGGGGCGTGTCGAGATCGAAGTGATCGAAAATTCTGTCGATCGGCTCTTCACAGCTATTTTGTATTGATTCCTCCGATTCCTTCAAACGGCATTTTCTGAGCTGGTTCCAATGGCGTTTGTGAGTGTTTTTTGGTCCTTGGACAATATAGACCAATTCGCCAATTCTTTGTTTTATGGTGCCTACTTCCCAGAATGTTATGTTGTTTTTGTAAGTCTTCAAAAAAAATTTATCGCCAGAATTGAAATATTTCTTATGAGGCGATACGGTTTCTTTGAACTTTGCTTGCCGTAGAATAAGTTTGTCGAAGACAGACTTGATTTTCCTTGCGAACATTGTTTCTGCAGGCGAGCTTCCCATAGGCGTGTTCGGTTTAGGGGTTATCCGATACACCTGCAGAAACTGTTGCAATGCTCTGATCTGTCAGTGTGCCTAGTGCCTTTTTAAAGCCCTTTTTAGAGTGTCCACGAACCTTTCGGCCTGGCCATTCGACCTGGAAAAGTCCATGTTGTAGGTATGTTACGGTATCACAACATATATATATTTCTCCCCCCCTCTCTCTCTCTCTCTCCATATATATATATATATATATATATATATGTGTGTGTGTGTGTGTGTGTGTGTGTGTGTATGTGTGTGTGCGTGCGTGTGTGTGTATGTGTGTGTGTTCGGAAAATTAATGAGTCAATTTACGTCCTTTAAAAGCTTCATTATTATTATTATTATTATTATTGTTGTTGTTATTGTTATTACAACTATTACCACCATCATCAAAATAGAAGTAGATAGATAGATAGATAGATAGATAGAAGTAGATATGTATGTATATATATATATATATATATATATATATATATATATATATATATATATATATAGGTTTAAGTCATTTCTACTTATTACTATATATATATGCACGTAGGTACATATACGTATATATATATATGTTCAAATATATATGTATAGATATATCTATATATTTATGTGTGCATATGTACATATATTAATATATATATATATATATATATATATATATATATATATATTCATCTTTGTTTATTCGTTATGCTTCTTGTTCACGTTTTTGTTAAATAATTAAGAAAAACACAGAATGAACAAAAAATAAAACAGACAAACAAAGCAAAAAAAAAAAAAAAATACTTAGAGAAGTCAAATTTTCCAATGATTCCGGCGAAAAACAAAACTAGAAAAATCTACAAAAATATAAGGAAAGAAAGCGTTGAAAAGTGGAAAAGAAAGAAAAAAGAAAGAAAGAAAGAAATAGAAAAAGAAAGAAAAAAATCTGGATGAATTAAATACTGAAACAGTTTCAATAAGGAGAGCAAGATAAAACAAATATATACTAAAAAAAGAAAACCAATATTGACAGCCAGAAAGAAAGAAAAAAAAAAGAGATACTAGAATTAAAAAAAAAAAGTTTCAAAGAATAGAATTAAAGAATAAAAATAACGTCAAAATTGTACGTTGTAATGAAACTAATGAAGATGTCTCGCTTCTTCCGAAAGATTGTCTTTTCATAAGCTAATTACTTGTAATCACGCCTTGATTAAATTACGCTCATGTTTTTAATTGTTCACTGTCGTTGTCTCCGCCGTAAACTAGAAAAAGATCTTGATTGGTCACACCTTGCCAGAAACAGGAGATATTTATACCATGTGTGTATCGATGATTTTACAAATGGGAGACCAGTTTTGAGGGAAGGAAAAGTGGCTTTCTAATAATCAACTCTTCTTTTTTTTTCTTCCTTGGGATGGAACCTGGGACATTAACGACTGCACACTCAAATTCTATGCTCTATTTCTAGCCTTTTCACATCCTTCTCTTTCATCCATCCATCCATATATATATATATATATATATATATTTTTAGTTGGATAGATGTGATTTAGACCTTGGGTTTCACGCTTTAGCGATCGTCAGACAAACTGATTAATTTTTAAAAAATTAATTTAAAAAAATTTTTTTAAAAATTAATCAGTTTGTCTGACGATCGCTAAAGCGTGAAACCCAGGGTCACAAACTCACATCTACCCAACCAAATATGTTAGCTGATATTGAGCGCTTTCTAATAAGTACCGCGCATATAATATATAAATAATTATACATATATATATTTATTTATATTTATATACACTTTTCACACACACACACACACACACACACACACACACACACACACACACACACACACACACACACATATATATATATATTTTCAGACATTTTTATGTTTATACATTCTTTTTATAGATAGGCCGGTAAATTTGTATCTTTAAAAAGAATGTATAAACATAAAAATATCTTAAAATAATTGTCGGACTTTGTTCATTTCATAATGTGTGACGTCATATATATATATGACATAACGATATATAATTTTGTATAATTTTATACATCAACAGTGTTTACAAAATAGTATGACAAACTGGAAAATAGTTTTTGTGATGGGTTTCATCCGTTAGGATTTCATTGCTGATGTTGCCACGTGTTTTGTTTTTTTTTCCAGTCTAGCCAAATCCATCTGTATTCTTTTTCTTTTTCTCTCCATCACCTTTGTCTCTGACTATCCCACATTGTGACAACAGACAAGAATCTACTAAGAATCATGACATATTGTAAGAGCCTGGACGCAAATTTACTCTGGTTGAATTAGCAATCAAGGCACTTTCTGAAGATTTTTGGCTTAGTGCATTATTTAATCAGAGTAGCATTCCTAATGTCAAAACTGTTTCGGGACGGTCAACAACCAATGCGTTTTGTATGTTATTTTGTAAAATATCCCTTTTTTGTTCTTATTGTCTTTTGTTTAAACTTCTTGGTGTTTTTCCACTGTGTTCATTCTGACAATTCCTCCTTCTAGCTCTAGGTTTTTTTATTTTTATTGATTATCTTTTTGATTGAATTAGATGTAGTTGTGACAAATTTTATGTTGAGTTTAGATAGATTCTTTTCGTTTGTAGAGTTAGTGCGTAGAATAATTTATTTTTAGATTCGTTGGATTTGTCAGCAAGGACAACTCTTCCATTTTGGAATATTTTATGAAGCTTTTGTTTCGCATTGAATATGAAATAGTTAAGGTATTGAAATATTTGCAATACATTTCTCCTCTTCGTGTAAATACTGAGGGCTGCAAATTCTGTGTGCTCTTAAATAGAATCTAATGATCATTCCGGACTTTATTTTGTTGTTATGATGTTATTAACTCATTTTATTGGTTGATGTTAAGCGGGCACTAAGTTTTAGGCTGTTGTCAACTCGGTGTAACATGATGTCTGAGAAATTCCAATTCATTATATATATATATATATATATATATATATATATATATATATATATATATATATATTACTTTTATTTTAATTAGAAAACAGACAACCTAAAGGGTCCATTGACTATATTTTATTTCTCCAGGAAGTTGTTTTTTTCCTGGTTCCTCAGGTCACATTTCTAATATATATATATATATATATATATATATATATATATATATATATATATATATATATAAAGTAAATTAAAATGGTAATCCGCATGGAAATTCCAAGAGGATAAAAATCAAGGAGAGCTCTATGTCCGAGACAGAGCAAAATTAATTAATACACACACACACACACACACACACACACACACATATATATATAAGTATATATATATATATACATATATATAGATAGATAGATAGATACTGTGGCGCATAGATAAATCCGGAAAAATTACTAGATAATAAAAAGCATTTTTATATTACAATTTAATATATTTCAGTGAAACTTTCTCAGGCCCATATATAAGGTACAAAAATCATATACAAGTTACAAAAATCACTAGATTTGGCCATCATCGGCTGCTACCACTTTCCCCAGGGAAACTGGTGCAGAACTTTGCGACGGTGTCCCTGTCCATGTTGGTCATGGCTTCCCAGATGGCTGCGTTGTAACCCTACTTGGTGTCGTAGGGCCTGCAGTTCATACAAAATATCCGAAAAGATTGCTGTCTGGTAATGATGGAGGTGGGGGCTTAAATCGGGCGACCAATGGTACGGTGAGAGCGTGGTGCCCCTTGAGTACATAAGATTTATATTTCAAGCCGTTCAATACGATTGTTCACCTGCTGGTACCCATTTTCTTTGGTGCACTTTCTTCATGTTTTTGCTTGGGTTCTCTTGACAACCTCGGAGATGAACTCTGGCGTTCTAGTGGCGCTTATGTGTTTTGCGTTCTGGCCTGAAAGTGTCCTTGTCGTCTGGGTCCCAATATACATTTGCAAGTCCTAGACTATAGTTTTAGTGTATATAAACCATTAAATGATTTCCTTAGCTTTGTGGGTGGCGCGAAGGTTCTCCATAACAGCAGCTCAATGATCATATTCTGAAGACCTATCGATTACTAAGCAACTCATGCATTAGTGGCAAGACAGCTACAAAGGTGTAGGTCTTTCTAATGTCATTCTCGAGATCTCGCTACGCTGTGACATCACGACACTGTTACCACGTAAAAATTCCGGATTTATCTGTGCTAAATAGTATATATATATATATATATATATATATATATATATAAAAGAAATATAATGTAGTGGTTCCAACGAGAGAAAAGTATGTATATTAAAAAGAAGAGAAGAGAGGTGCCGCTAACGTCTGTTTGTGTGTTGGTAATCCGAATTTCTTTCGACCAACACACAAACAGAGAATGTCTCATATCGAGAATATTTCACATTGGACATGAAGAAAAATTAATTATTTTTAATAATATGTAGAAATCTCCACTTTTACCTGAAGACGATCGCGAGACCAGAAACACGTGTCGTAAAATTATGTAAAACAAAGCATAATATTTTTTCTAAATAAATCCACATTACAACCAAAAACGTTAGCGGCACCTCTCTTCTCTTTTTTTATATATATATATATATATATATATATATATATATATATATATATATATATATATATATAATAAATCCTAAAGATCCAGGAACAACCTATCTAGGTATCATCAAAACAAATCTTCAGGGTACTCTGGCTAGTTTACTCTGAAAATATATTTAGGTGAAACCTAGGTAGGTTGTTCGATTCTCGGCAGTGGATGCGCGCTGCTGATGAATCACAAATATAGGACGAAACGGCCGTCCAGTGGGTATAAAGTATCGTAACGGCCCAGGTTCGATTCTCGGTAGCGGATGCGCACTGCTGATGAGTCCCCAGATTACGACGAAATGCATTCTTCTAGACATGATGAATTGATATATATATATATATATATATATATATATATATATCTGTGTGTGTGTGTGTGTGTGTATGTGGGTACACGCCTATGTGTATAAACGTGTATATGTTATTGTGTATGTGTGTATTCGCATGTGTTTTTAACATAAAAATATAGGTCCTTGCTGGATTAGATAATCGTTATATTTATTTTTTCTATGTTTATATTTGATTTGTAACCTGTAGTCGATATTAAATTTGTCAAATTTTCTCAATTACAATGCGGCCCTTTAAGTAAACGCAATTTCACTTTCCTTTGCCCCATCTCTCTCCCCCACCTCGTCTTTCCCTCCCTCTTATTCTAACATTAAATTGTCTATGGTGTGTGCATGTCACCACGAAATGTATCTTTATACATCCGACAACATTCATTTTTCCCTTACTTAAACCCCTTCCACCCACCTCTCCTAATATTCTCTCTGTTAAGGTTTAATCTCCATCCCCCTCATACTTACACTCTCTCTAAATTCTGTTTTTATTTCCGGAGTTGTTTTTTTTTTCTGTTTTCCTTTTGAATTTGTAGGTCTGATGAATTGGATCGTATTTACGATTCCAATGGAATAAATTATGACCATGGAATATTAGTGTTTAAGCCTTTTTTATTATATATATATATATATATATATATATATATATATATATATATATATATATATATAAAAATCCTCTCTCTCTCTTTCTCTCTCTCTCTCTCTCTATCTATCTATCTACAGTCACAAGTCATCGTGACCTACTGTTTGAGCGCTCTGGCCTTGTTCATATTATTGATCACGATAGATAACATGTTCTCTCCCAGAAACTGTAATTAGGGTCTGCTCAGCATAGTTGCAGTATAAACCACAGGTGGGCTCTGTGGGTGTTAAACAACAAAAAAAAAATGTGCCTGGGCAAGCGTCTGCCTTAGGGATTGGCTAGCCGCCCTAGATATTTCAGACTGAATTTAAAACATTTTTTTAAAATTCACAAAGTTTCTGTTTCACTTCAATCTTAATATAAATTAAAAACTTAAAAAAAAAATACTAATTTTTTTCACTTACTTGAATTTTTATCTGTTTCCTCTTAATTCGGACGTAAATCCCAATGTTCCATCAACAGATGAAGGGCAGATTCTCAATCCAGAGATCATCATGATTTGAAAAAGGTATATGTCTATGTAGAGCAAGTGTGGTCCGAGTTATAGCGTCTTCAGACACACGGACGGACAGAAAGAAATGGCGTTTATTTATTTAGATGATTTAAGAGACCGAATGTTTTAGCCAAGGCTGGCAAACTGCATATTGAATTGCTTGGCGTTAAATTAAGCCGTAAACATGCGGCAAGAGAGCTAACTGTTATATTAAAATTCATATCTATCATACACAAGATGCAAGCTCGTGAGGCGCGTAGACCCACACATGCGTAAATAGATGCAATATTTATGCATGTAACATTTTCAAAGCAAACATTCTTATCATTTCACATCTGTTGGCGCAGGAATCATAATAATTCAATGTTAAATAGAAAGATATTTGACTTAATATCCATTAAGTATGGAACATAAATAAGAAAATGCAATACAATCACTAAAAATACGCACCATTTTTGACAGCATATATATATATATTTTAAACACGTTGTATTAAACGCCAAAGACAACATAGTCCTGATGATTTTCTTTTGTATTTTCTCATATTTCCGAATGAGATTTTTTATTTCATAATTATATTGGTATATATATTTTCCAAAAGACAACTGAGTACTTTCGAACGTCATATTTTGGAAAATATATCGCGTACATCTCATAGTGGGCACTTCACAAAGAAAGTACTTTAAGAACAGCTTCTTTTGAATAATATATATATATATATATATATATATATATATATATATATATATATATATATATATATGAGAGTATTAGCACGTAAGTGAATGTAATGGATTCAACCTGGATTCGAACTCGGCTCTGCGATTCCACAATCCAAGCCGATATCCATCACCCTACCATGCTTCTCCCTCCAGCTATGGGTTAAATAGCAGAACAGACTGGGTTCTATAGCCTTGGATGGCAACTGGTCTAAGAGAAGGACAACTCTGAATTCAAAAACCTGAGTGGGGTTGTTTGGGGACCTTGTGGCACGTAGTGCACCAAGTCTCTGTATTCGGCCCTTCAAAAAGTGTGGATGTAAATGCCGAGTGTAACATGACATTTCACGGCGCTTGACTCTACATTTAAATGATAAATCTAACATTTTTGGACATTTAAAACAACACGCTTGCCCGCGTACTCGATTCCGGAAAATCCTCGTTGAAAACACAACTATACTTAAACATGAAAACAATAAAGAAAAATTAAAAATTCTTGAAGCTTTATACATAAAACAGTTGAAACCTAACCTGAACAAAATAAACTATGAAATCGCCACAAATATCCTTAACGGCTTCCCATACTTAATGCCTCTCGTTTTTCACTCTCGCGTTGTCATGTTTGACGTCACGAGCTGCGATGCGATTTTCGCTTCCGCGTCTCGTATATACGAGTTTGTCGTTACTTAGAAATTTTCATGCAGAAAAGGGCGGACTATCATTGTTGTTCCATCCGTTGTTGCTTGATTTATTGAGACTGTCATCTTTGATAAGGGCTTATTTAAGCCAAAAGCTTAGATTGGATTTAAACATGTATCAACTTGGTGTTTTCATTCGTCTTTCAACGATAATGGGATTAAGCTTATCAGACAATATGGAAGAAACTTACTTAAAATAAATAGACAAAACTTGTCTATATTATTTAATGAAACATGCATTAATATATATATATGTGTGTGTACGTGTGTGTGTGTGTGTGCGATTTTTTTAAGCGTAGCCTAGATGTGGCAAAAGGCTGTGGGCATGTGCCAACCATTACATCACGTCCAAATTTCCAGTATATGTATGTATGTATGTATGCATGTCTGTATGTATGCATGATTGTAAAATAATATGGATTCTGAGAATTTATAGACATTTTAGAAGGGCTATTTTAGAATTATAAACGATTTTTATGATTGTTGCGAGTTTTGACAATAAAAAATGGCTTTCTTTGGATACAGAAGAATCAACAAGTGCCATACGATCGATTTGTCTATAGATAAATTTGGCGTCTGCTATAAAACAATAATTAGCAAGCTAATTCGTCTTGTTACTTTAGATGAATTTTAATCTTGGGAGTTGCTCAGTTAGTGTATGCTAGTACCATACATTCAATATGGCCTGTCACTTCAGGGCTGATGCGATCAGGAATCTCAACAGATTCCTTTCTTTATTATCTGTGAATTAGATTGAGCTTAGAGACATCTGTTTTATTCAAGCGTTGGTTCTAGAGAGGTTTTTGTTAAACTTGTGCTGCAGGCCTTTCCTATTAGAATATTACATACTGATGCACTTTCGCATCTACACAAGAGACTTTCGCATCTATCTATCTATCTATCTATCTACGTTTGCGTATACATATCTGTCAACATCACTATGTTAATATCTATCTATCTATCTATCTATCTATCTATCTATCTATCTCATTCTGTTGATATCTATCTATCTATCTATATTCATAGATATGATATCTATCTATCAATCTATCTATGTTTGCTTATACATATCTGTCAATATCACTATGTTAATATCTATCTATCTATCTATCTATCTATCTATCTATCTCAGTCTGTTGATATCTATCTATCTATCTATCTATCTATCTATGTTTGCTTATACATATCTGTCAATATGACTATGTTAATATCTATCTATCTATCTATCTATCTATCTATCTATCTATGTTTGCTTATACATATCTGTCAATATCACTATGTTAATATCTATCTATCTATCTATCTATCTATCTATCTATCTATGTTCATGGATGTGATATCTATCTATCTATCTATCTATCTATCTATCTATCTATCTATGTTCATGGATATGATATCTATCTATCTATCTATCTATCTATCTATCTATCTATCTATCTATCTATCTATCTATCTCCGTTTCTCCATGTCTAACAATATGCAACCTTTTTGTTAATATCTGTCTCCCCCTCACATTTATTGGTCTGTTTATCTTTAAATGTATCTATAGAGTTAAAGAAAGAGAATAAAATGTCAGACGAAGAAGGTGGAGGAGATGGCTGTATACAAATATAAGAAACTCTGACGTACAAAGTAATCAGTGATGGCCTTGGGGAAACACGCTAAAAAATATCAGATAGAGACGTACGTCGATACATAGGCAGATTAAATTGTGGACCCACAAATGAAAGTAGATATCGTCTTGGGGTGAGGCAACAGATAAGTAAATCGAAGTAATGAGATCGGATGAAGAGATCTATGTGTGAAGGCCATAGAAGAAAGAAAAAACTTTCGAAGCATGAAGCAGAAATGAAAGGAGCACAAAGACGAAGGCAATTTAATGAACCTAGGACGAGAAAACATCGTTTCTAGATAATAAGAACGTGAAAAATAAACAAATGTCCGCTTGCTTATCTAAGAAAGGAAATGCATCGTATCAATGCGTGACAGGGGCGATGTCACCCCTGAAATAATAATAATGATAATAAAGAAGAATATGCTGAAAAACAGAAAACACCGAGTGAAAGAGGGGCGTTTTCGAATAACCAAGATTTTAATATGCTGTAAAGACTTTGAAATGTAAATGTTACAATAAGTCAATTTGGAACACGATATACAATCATTTTGTAAGTGTACAAAGGATATCAGATTACTAATAGAAAATAACAGGAACGATAATAAATTGGAACTTTTAAAAAAAGAAATGGATTTTGACACTATAAGAATCGAAGTTATAATTAAGGATGTTTTTTCTAGAATTTATTTTTAAGCAAGAATGTCTGTAGTTTACAAAGAGCGGCAGAGTAATTAATAGCAAGGTGATAAACAATAGCGTCTTGTGAACCTTGGAAACCAATTGATGAAAAAGTAAATTGTTTATTCTCGGTGGATTGAAGTTGTACTTTGGTAATATGTCAGTACGCTCGCACTAGAAAAACAAACACATCACCAATCTGGCACACGGAGGTTGGTTCTCTTCATAAAGAGGCGAGCCAACCGGAAGAGAGAGAGTTTTAGGTTCGTCTGTCATCGAATGCATTCGAACTGAGTGGAGAGACGTTAGAGGTTGAAAAGGAAGCGTCCGCTGTGTGTTGCTGAAGCTGAAGGCGAAGAAGCGAAATACCGCTTTTATCATCTAAGTATCACTACTTCTGCTACAACTAGTACAACAACTGAGAATGGGAACATCGAAGGTTGTAGTAGTTTCGCTAAGAACAGACCAAAAAGGGTTAAAAACGAAGGCCACATCTTGCCTTTACCGAAATTATTCGAAGTATTTGTGTTTGTTTAGTCATTGTTCACATACAAGAAACATTCAACCTTGTGCAACAGGAATTTTTTTTTATTTTCTTTTATATAAAAAAAACAAAAAAAAAACAACGAATTTTCAGGTGGACCAAAGAAGTGCTTCCGGATTTCTACGATCTGGTGACCACTCTCCAGGATTAAAACAATCACAACGTGGCTGGAGGGTGGCTTCGAACTGACATTGGGAACTGAAGATTTGTATCTAACCTGTAATACTGGACCATACCGGACAAACAGCCGGTCTTGTAGAGTGCGTGTGTCCAGTGGGGTAAGGAAACGGTGTTACAAATGAACTAGCTGCTAAGGAGAGACTAAAAGAAAAGGGACGCGTGTGAATACTACGCTCCACCTTACCTATTTTGGCTCTATAAGTTTTCTTTTACAACTTTTATCCATCCTCCAATATATCAGTGAATACTGGACAATTTATTTACAATAATGTTTACCCTGTGCAAGGCCCAACAGCCACTCAAGATAGAGGGTTACAGAGTAAGAGGCCCAGTTTGTGAGAATATATAGGGAAGATAATGATTAACCCTCGATTAAGGTTAAGATTGTAGCATTTAGGGAAGCATTTTCACAAAGCATCTGTTCTTGGAAACAAGCTGCCCGAGGGGAATTTGTAACCCGCCACTGGGAATGAGGTTGATTCGCTATAATGGGTGTGGCATATAAGGTCTTGGCCGTGAGGGTTAGAACTAGTGAAGCTATGTAGTTCGTCTAAACACTTTCCATGGAAATAGCGTTAGAACACCGAAAAGGCTTGCAACGGACCGACTGTGAGAAAAGTTTTTTTTGAGGTGGAAAATAATTCATCACCCACAAGGACGCAAAGTCGTTTTTGGCCTTTATCAAATCTGGAAAGTGAAGAACGGGTGGTCCCTTCCCATATATGGCATCAGTCCTTCATTGTTGGCCTGATCTGGTTCTTGTATAGGTAGCGTATAGCAGGAGGTGTCAGCACGGATAAAGAGGAGACTTGAGATGTGGTTTCGTAGAAAGAGGCTGGGAATACCATATTCTCATAGGGTACCATCTCAACAGGCTAAAATTCGCAGGTCACATAGCGTTGATGGCAAACACAGAAAGAAAACTGCAAGAATTCCTAGACGAGGTATTAAAGAAAAAGGAGAAGTTAGGACTACTAATTGTATGCAGAAATCATATTCGGCCGTCAGCAAGAGGAACTATGGAAGCTGCGAACTATAAATTGGTGGTGTGAAAATGAAGATAGTACAGGAATTTAAATATCTTGGAAGTGTTTCATAACAATGGAAATACCTTGTGTAAAGCTGAAGGAGAAACGTTGTTACGTCATCCTTCAAATACAAAGAGCTTTCTTGCTTTGAATAACAACGTTTAAAAGCCTTCCTTTTATCTGAGCATAAACAACGCCTTCTGGCATCAGTAAGAGAAAAATAAACTATTTTAGAGTGAGCATGATTTTTTTAGCGTTACAATTAGGCTTCAATAAATTCACCTTGAAAATGAATTAGGAATTGTATTCTATATCTTTTGGCAAATACGTTTTTTTGTTTTTGCATAGTTTTGTTTCTACATCTAACACTGATGCAACATCTCCCCTATTATCTTTTATCCAATGTTAGCGAAATCTTTGAAGTGCCTGAAGATAACACTGCTCTTTGTAACTTGGGTAGACGCTCAATTGTATTACGGTGTTCAGAAGTCGTAGGAAAGTCCAGAAAGCGAATCAACTGGTTGCATATTAACTTGCATAAATGAAAATCAATCAGCGTTTAAAGCCTTGTTTTTCTCCCTCTCTCCCCCTCTCTCTTCCTCTCTCTTTCTCTCTCCCTCTCTCTCTCCCTCCCTCTTTCTCTCTTTATAACACAGAACAAATAAATGAGATTTTGTTTATCATTTGGAATTAGTAAGCCTTTGAAAGGTGAAGTAATAGATAGCAGCTCGGATTAAGGAATCGGAGAACCGAGTTCGAATTCCAGTCAAATCCATTACATTCACTTACGTGCTAATACCCTTGGGAAAGGTATGAATCCTCTTCTTCTCCACAGCTATGGGCAAATAGCAGAGCAGACCGAGTTCTATAGCCTTGGATGGCAACTGGTCTATCGCAGAAAAAAACCTACTGCGTGAAAAAAATCTGCCTCATCAGTCATGTATCGAAAGATACATGATCGCCTAAGCGTCTATCACGCATGGCACATAACTGACTGAACGTCATAATAAGCCTTATACGAAGGTAGGCTGAAAAATTCGTTGGCTGATTATGAAGAAGGGATGCTAGAGCTTTGAAATCTTGTATTAATTGCAATTCTTCTTATTAATAACTGCATTGTCTATTTCCAGGTAAACTGACATCTGACTTTTCAAAGAAGACTTTAAAAATACGACTGAAATGTCAATAGGCTGACTATGAAGTAGTGATTCTAGAGCTGTGCAATATTGTATGTATTAATCTCAACTATTCTTAGTAACTACTAAAGTTCTAGGTAAACTGACATCTGACTGTTTAAAAAAAGATTTTAAAAATGCGACGGTTTTTTGAATAGATTAACCGTCGTAATCTTCTGTGATGTCAGATGTCAGTTTACCTGGAAAGAAATAATGCAGTTATCAATAAGAAAAGTTGAAATTAATGTACTAAATGATTTCACAGCTCTAGGATCATTCCTTCATTGTCAACCTATGAACTTTTCAGCCCAAACTCGTAATCTTCTTTGAACGGTCAGATTTCAGTTTACCTGGAAAAAAAAACAATGCAGGTAACAATAAAAAGAATTGAAATTAACGCGCCCAACAATTCACAGCTCTAGGATCATTCCTTCATTGTCAACCTAAGAACTTTTAAGCCCACCCTCGTATATTTATTATACATGTTAGAGTTTAAGCAATGCGCTTTTCATTATGTCTATGATTTTACTAACTGCTTTCCAATATTATTTTACATAATTGTATTTAAGTTTTCTGGTCATTCTATAATAACACCGCCTGTCTTAATTACACACAATACAGTTAGGAAATCTTGAGAATTTTTCAGGAGACATATTTACTTCGAAATAATTGAATCTCCTTTCAAACTAGAACCCTCTGTCTTCAATCCGTTTTCTTGTAGCGTTCAGTCAGTTCTTGAAGGTTCTCGTGTAGTATTTCAAAATGAAGATGTTCAGAGCCCTCGTCACATCCTCCTTCATCTCCTCCGCGTCGTCGCTAAAACGTTCGCCGATAAGCAATACAGATTATTTCACTGTTTCCTGCGGCGTATTTCTTTTCTTTATTACATTAGGTGTATAAAAATTTGAAAAGGAGAGTAAAGAAAGCTAGCCATTTACCAGATTCAAAGATCAACCTTGAACTTGAAACCCTAACTAATCCGGGACTCTGATTGGCTAACTGCTGTCCAATCAGGATCCATTTTGGGGGCTACTCGATCTGGAAAACTCTGTTTTCTTCAATCGACGACCGTAGTGACCATACGTTTATTGGAGCCGTTCTTTCTGACGTTAATGCAATACAGAAACCTAGGAGCCTACAATTTCCTTGGATATTCGCCTAACATTTAATTCCGCAAATATAAATTATATTTGCAAGCCTTCTTTTTACCTATTGTTCATATACCGTCTTCTGTACATTAAACCCATTGAATTTAATAATGCCGTTGTTTCACTTCTCTTCTTCAAGTGTGTTTGTTTTTGACTTTGTGGAACATAACTGAGATCGGAAAATCTTTATAGGAACCTCCAAATTGTTCTAAAGTCTAGAGTGTCGTTACAACCGGTTAGCTGTGACAAGCCATTTGTAGCAGTTATTGTTTAGCGTACTCTGCCGGCCTGATCCTTGAACACGGAAACATTTTTTTGGCATCTTATTACAACTAAAACAAGAACGTATTAAAAGTAAATCACACAAATAAATTCTCAGACCTTCCGATGGGCATCTAGTATATATTCTTGGTTTTTCTTCAGTTCTTAATAATGCATTTTATAATTTTCGAAACGTTGCTAAAGAATATTTCTTTTATTCTTACTTGTTCGTAAAACTAAATAAAGACTTACCCTATTTAGGACATTTTGCTTTTCTGCTAATTGGTCAGTCTAAAGAGATGTGAATGAGGAGAAAATAAAAGACGTGACGAAGTATTGTAGTAGTAGTAACACTACGGATCTCTGTGACGTATCGCCCGTTTTTCTTCTTATTATTATTATTATTAAGAACTCTTAGTCATTGTACTTTCCATACAATAAAACCCATGTTATTTGTTTTACCTCATTCATGTGTTTAATGTAATCTTTCCACACGGAATTACCTAGTTTCTTATATCGTATTATCCACGATGTAACACCTAATTAATCCGATCTCGTAATTAATATCGTAATTCTTGTAATTAAACCGATCAATCGGATATTATTAAAATATTGTCAACAAAAAAATGGACGGCTTAAATGTTCTTTATTTTGTATATCCCATTTTTTCACAGTTCATTTTTTCGGGGAGTTAATTTCAAGATCTACATTAGATAGTTTAAGTGAAAGTGCATCCCTTTGTCTCAACCACTTATCCTTTTTTATTTTTAACTGTGTATATATATATATATATATATATATATATATGTGTGTGTGTGTTTGTGTGTGTGTGTGTGTGTGTAAGCACGTGTGTGTGTGTGTGTGTTTGCGCAGCAATCCTTCTTTTTTAAACAAGTTTCATTAAAAACGACCGACAAGGTACAGCGATTAATTTTCTTATTTAATTTTTTGTGTTCTTATAATTTTCTTCTTCTCTGAACGTAAATTATGTAGAAATTGTCTAAATATTTTCTATGTACGAGCGTTTTCGTCTATTATTTTTACTTTCAGGGAAAATGAAAATTAATAATCGAAAAAAACTCGGCCATACAAAACAGAATTTTCCCAAAAACACAAGAAACAAATTAAATAAAAACTTAACCACAGTACTCTGTCAGTCGTAATTAAAGAAAGATATATATATATATATATATATATATACACACACATATATATATATATATATATATATATATATATACACACATATATATATATATATATATATATATATATATATATATATATATATATATATATATATATATATATATATATATATATATATATACACACACATATATATATATACATATATATATATATATACACACACACACACATATATATATATATATATATGTCTGACTGAATAAATTAAAAATATTATGTCTGATTATTTTATCATAATAATTTCATATTCACGAATATTTTTCTGTATATTATTGTCATAGTGGAACACACCTATTCTATAGTTAATAGACTCTCCCACCTATAATAAGTAGGGGTAGTAAGAGTAACCAGTTGCTCAGTGGGTCGGTCAGTCAGTCGATGCCGGACGACCGTTAGTCGGATACTAAAGTATCAGTGACCACTGCTAGATTTCTCTGCGTCATTATCTATTATATCAAGTTCCTAACGTCTTGTACGTCGAACCTATTTTAGGAATGACTTAGTACAAATACAAGCCTCCACTGTGAAACCACTCCACAACAAATATATACATGAATAAGGCAAGAAATGCACTGTAACAGTGATAATCACTTTTATTTCCGAAGTACTTTCCATCTCTTTCTGAGATCATCATCAGTGGTGCAGCTGGTAAGGCAAAAACTATGCGTAGCTATCTATTACTGAATTTTCTTTTGTGTTTAAATGCTACGGATGATACTTATGCTTCACCGTTCATTAGAACGCGAAAAGTTATCCATTATGGATCAACTAGTAGAGCTAAATTAAACTATCAGATTTGGTTGGCAACCAGGAAAACTCTTAGTGTATAAAACACGTGGTCGTCTAGCGGAAAGAAAACACCAAATGAAATTCAACCCGGCTCTGCGTAGTTGGGCCTGCGGCCAATCATTCCCCACCTCGAAAAAATTCGATTACAGAAACCTCATCAGAGGCCCTATGCGCCACAAGGCATCATGCAGATATCAAGAAGAAGATCTGTAGTTTCTAGATGGTCTCTTGTCTAACAGACTACCTGACAGCGTGGTTGGTTTTCATCGAGGGTATTTCGTAGTCTTATTGCAAGTACGGATGAGAATAATTTATGTATATTCGATATAAATGTGATAGTTGATACTTAACAAGTTCGTTATTTTCCCATTTTAGATTAGCTTCTAAGAAATCTGGTTAACTGTGTCGGGCTGGACAATTTCTTTCGACAGAATATATCCTACACGTTTATAAGTCTACCAGTCGTCTGTTGATTGAATATTGCTGCCACATTTAGTCTGGTGCTTCTGCTATATATCAAGCATATTTGTTCTGATAAGCTTTCCTCTTTGGTACCTCAAGTTCTCGAATTTATGCGCAGTACTAGATTGGTAGATAGGTCTCACTATTTTAATGTTGTAGTTGCTAGATGAGGCCATAATTTCTATTCTTATCAAAAAAGAAAAAAGTCCTCTTGCCCTTCTCGCTGGTGAAACTCTTCTTGATTTTCTGCCAGCTACGATCTTCGGAAATTTAAATGCAACGTGAATCTTCTGTCTCCTTGAATCCTGTTATTCTACTGTTCTCTCTCCTCAATAATATTTCCTCAGTTTATTTCACTCTCAGTAATCACTTGTGTCTTAGTGGCTTTGTCACTTTGCTTGGGGTGAAATGATTATAAAATGGGATTACAATTCCGAAATTAAAGAATTCATTGAATATTTAAAAAGATCTGTTACTATGCCAACTTCACCTGATATTTTAACTGTTGTTATTTCAGGAACATCGTTGTTACTTAACTGCGTGAGTGTCGGTTTTATTTTTATTTTTGCAAGCATACAGGCCTGCATAGTGCATTTCAGAGTAA